GTTGTTATGCCTAGGTTGTACTCCTATGCCTGGCTCTCTCTATTTGCATTCCCCATCCTACAGTCAATCAGCAATTTATAAATAAAAGAATAACTCCTCAATTATGAAGCAGGTTGGATCGAACGATGTTCAAAAGCCGTCGTGCGCCACAGACTAGTCCCTTCCATGAATAAGCTTTTAAGGAATGTCGTAATCTGTTGCAGCTGAAACCAGGAAGAAGTGGAGCTTGTCACATAAGGCATTGGCTTTATGGGTCTCCCTCTATCCATAAAGTTTCTGATTCTGTATAACCCTTCTGTATAACACCCCACCCTCTCTCTTTTTGCAAAGGCAGCCAGTTTAACATGGTTATCCTGCAACTGGGTTTTTGGTTATGGGGAAATAATGGCTAGCTGTGCCATGCCCTGCATTTTGAGAACATTCCCTTCCATAGCCAATGGTGCAATGTGTTATACTAGAAGACATTTCTCCAGATCAAGAGCTATCTGTGCAGCAGGAACTCTCCATGATGGTTTGGTTGCATTTATTCCTAAAGAAATTGGACGTACCTGGTGTAGTGGCTAGGAGATATATCGCTATATGGTCCAAAATTGCTTTGAAGTCCATATCGTAATATTGGTTTCATAATTTCCGACCTGGCAATATATTATGAATCATGATGTGTGTGTGTGTGTGTGTGCGCTATGCAAGAAAACCACAACGTGTTTAGCTGGCGATATATCACAATGTTGAAAACCAGATATTGTCCAGCCCTACTGTTCACCTCAAAAGCATTTGCATACATACATACATACATACCTATATATATGGAAGGGCTGCCTTGAAGATCTCTAGAAATTCCAGCAGTGGATACCCATGGCTCTGCCCCCCCCCCAATCCCGCCTCCCCCAAGAGCACATAGTGGCGTTTGAAAAACCGAACAGGGTGGAAACAAAGACCTGCAGTTTATCTGATATGACCGGATGATAGGACAATTGGAATACAAAACCAGGAACAATACGTACATACATACATACATATATATATATTATATATACATACACATTTATACCTGTGTAAAGGAGATTAAATTAAAATTTAAGATGATCTTTTAAAAAACTCATTTGTTTTTCAGAACATTACATCTCATTCCCCTGCGTGTCATTCTCCACCCCCATGCTCTGATCCTGCACCCATTTATTGTTTACAGTACACTGTACACCTCTTGAACCGACTTTTTTTGGGGGGGTGTGCAAAATCTGTTTCATCCTCTATGTAACCCATAATGGCGGTGGCGTGGAGACACCTTGTCACCTAGAGAATCATTCCTTGCAGCCCTCGCGGGATAAAGGGATGGGGGGGGGAGAATTCACTGGCAGCTGGCCAGTTTTGCCTGCCTCTGTGGTCACCACCACTAACAGTCTGGAAGCTCTGCATTTGGCAGGTGTAATGGCAGCGTGTTGCAGCGCGCAAATGGCGAGCTGGAGACCCGTGCCCGTTTCAGACGACGTCACTGCATCACAAAATGGCCAAGCCTTTTGTGGATTCTGCCAACATGGAACACAAGAATTCACATTCCGTAAAGGGTGTGTGCATGTGTGAATGAGAGAGCTGCTTACCTCTAGAAGTAGGGCTGCGTTTCAGGGCGTACATGTAGCAACACACACAATTTGACCAGTGAGGTTTAAAGGAGATGGGGAAGCAGTCAAACCCCCCTGAACTGTTTTCCATGAACTGTTTTCGTCCCATTATAAGACAAAACAGGGAACTGTGAATTCAAAGTTATGAAGGAAACATGGGAGACATCTATCCTGAAGTTATCCTCATTATGGGATCCGGACATTTCTGGGCTAGGTCCATCGAAATTGGAGGAAAGACTGGTTCGAAGTTCAAAATGAACCCCTTTGGTGCTCCTTCCCCAATCCAAAGCTGTCATGCATTCTGCTGAAATTCACACTGAATTTCTGTCTGAATCGCAGCAAGAGAAAGCAAAGGACGTCTTTCTTCCAAAGCAGGCACAATTAAAGCCCACAAGAAGTAAACAATAAAAGGGGTGGGAACCTCTTGAGTCAACAGGAGGAAAGCACCCTGTCCCCCCCCCCCTTTCCTTCAAAGTGGAAACCTTGTGGAGGGGACAACAGCATTTTCCACTCCCTTCACAAATTCCAGTTTAGAGGTGAAAACCCAAAGGCATAGCCTTTCCTGGCAGAATACTGCTTTAAACCAAACAAAACATACAGGCTTTTGTATCGGCATTATTTTGGCTCTTTTTGAGGGGGCAGGGGGAAGCAACTTTTCCCAGCAACCGCTTTACAAAACGTATGTCCAGTTCCACTTTACATAGACGTTCCACAGCAGCCTTAGCTAATGGCCATGCCGGAAAAATAATACTGTCAAAAAGTTTGTAGATGATGCAGTAGGTGGAGTCCTGCTTGAGTGGGTAGAGGAAACGTCACCCGATTTGCATCGTTTTTTTAAATATAAAGCTGAATCTAGGTTAATAAATATATCTCTCGAACAGCTGAAAGAGGACCAGTGAATGTCTATGTGATGCAGCTCAGTTTATAACAGCCTTCCCCAAGCAGGTACAATCCAGGTATTTTGGACAACGCTCAGCATCTCTGACCATTGGCCATGTTGGCTGGGGATGATGGAAGCTATAGTCCAAACATCAGGAAGGCACCAGGTTGGGAGAGGCCCCCAGTGGGACCCGATCGTGAGTACCTGTGTTATTTCCAAGTTGGGTTGAGTGATGTGGGACTCTCAGCCAAGCTCCAGGGCATGAATGAATCATGGTGGCCAAAAACCATGCCCAAGGACGGGGATAGCGAAAGGTCAGAGAGGCCAAAATGCAGGCAAAGGAAGCCTCCAAATGTGTTCACACAAAGCTTCACCTTGCCATATTTAAGGTAAGATGTTTTCTGACTTTTTCCCTTAAGAACCTGATTCCAGCATTACACACAACACACAGACGTTGCTGTCAGGCCAAACTGCATCCTTCTGGTGCCACGGATGCTGATACAGAAAGAAACTCCCCATAAGCTTGGTGCCATACAGAGAGCACCTTTCCAACATCTTGGCCCTCTGGGCAAAGTGCAGCTCTACGGAAGTGTTGTTTTGGTGCCTCTGTGTATGTCAGTGTAATATTTTGGCTTGGCCCCTGATGCCTGGGTTAGGGTGCAAAAGCATGGGCAGCGCAGGAGCTGCAGTCAGTGACTTCTGCTCTTGTCAGATTAAACAGATGAGGAAGAAAGAAGCTGCAAAACCCTCTGGCACCTTAGAGATGAACAGCTTTTGTAACTCGCTGCCGGCACCTGTCAAAAAGGTGACCCAACACTTTCCGGCTTTCTGGCTACTAATAACGATCTCAACTATTTCTCTAGAAAAGGGCGTAAAATGCGGAAGGCAACAGTTATGACGCCGTTGTGTTGCTTCAGAGAGGAATTCCCTGCCAGCTAGAGATGCCACATAAAAAAACCCCCAAACTAAATGCACCCGTGCAGCTCAATCGCTGGAAATGGGGGTGATGTGAAACAAAGGGACATCTACGGTGGTCCAGTGTTTTGTCCTGGGACAAAGGTTGAGCTCATAAATTAAGGAACAAAGAAGAACCAGGCAATACCTCTTACAATATAATGATCTTAGAGCCTGAGTCCTCATTACCTGTGCATCTAAGGCACTCGTGCCTCTGTTTTTTTCTTTTGCTGTCCCCCGGCTGTAAGCACACCCACTTCCACAACAAACCCTGGTATTGACAGCAGCAAAGCAGAACCCTTCCGAAAAGGTGCTGCCCTTCACAGCTTTCTTCCAGTCAAATGCAGAATGGCTGGTGCAGAACCATGAAACTGAAGGCTTGCTCAAGAGCGGGACCAATTATTTCTTCCCTGCTCAGTTCCATTTTTTCTCTCTCCAAAGTCTCTAGCTTCAGCTCCTGGCTCGATACCTTTGATGCGTTTGCTCCCGGCTCTTAGGTTTTAATACTCAGCTCCCTTGGGAGGGTCCAGTTCATAAACCTCCTGGGCGTTGATTCCCAGAAATTCTCCAAGACAAACGTGAATAAAAATGCAGTGAGGAGGAGAAAGAAACAAGGCGAATGCTCTTTTCCTGGTTGTAAAAAGTCAGCCGTAGCGTCTATTCAGATGCCGACAGGGGTTTCGGAGGCCGGAGCCTCTCCCCAGTCGCAAAGGTGGCGACTGGCAAAATCACCCGCGGAAACCCTCCTTAAAAAACACAGACATATTTCCCACCATCGCACGAAACATAGAGAATAATGGATTCCATATTGTCCAAAAGGATGGAAAATTAAAGGCAAGGTCATCCAACCCTCCCCACCCTCACCAAATCCCAACAATAAGACCCCCCACTCCCAACCCCGTAACCCCTCGCTCAAAAGTTTAAGATTCAGGAAAGAAAACAAAAAGAGATAGAGAGAGCTGGTCTCGCTTCTTGCCAGCAGAGTCCTGCTGCATTCCAGTTTTGTCCTCTGCTCCACGTGAAGACAGTCTCGATCCCGATCTGCAATGGCTGGCGCAAGGTTCTCATCAGGCAGAGAGGACAGGGGACACAAATGGCCGGACACATGGGACCACCGCCTCCCCACCCTCCACGGTTTGTTGATCCAGTTGACACAAGACGCACACCGGACATGGAAAACTGACAAGTGATTCACCACCCTTGTCAAGGTGTCTGGGTTTCGCTTCTGCGGCCCACTTTGACTTTCGCCATCCCGCCTGACCCGTCCACCCGACCTTTGTCTCTTCCTCACCCTCAAGAGAAGGCAAGGCCGTTGGCTACTCTTGCTTGCCGTAGTTCTTCTGACTGTGTCGGGGTCTTAACACTTCCCTGCTGGGAAAACCGGGCAGGGGATGAGGGAAGAATAAAAGAGTGGACAACGGGCAGGAGGCATTTCTAAACAGGTCCCTTGCAAATGATAGTAGTAGTAGTAGTAGTAATAGTAATGAGAAGAATTAATTGCTCTGGTTGGTTTATATGTGTGTTTTTTTCTGCTCTCTCTTTTTTTAAGTCGGGTTGGAATTTTTCAAAGTCTGCAGCTTCGCCTCCAGTTCAGAGATCTGAAAAACACACAACAGAAAGGGGGTGAAGAGGAGATTTCCAGGTAGAAAAATAGCGGGGGGGGGGGGGGAGAGAGATGGGAAGACACGAGGGAAGGAGACATGGTGGAAATTGGCTGGCTGGCTCAGCACCCATTAACAGCAATGGGAAAGGGCTGGTGGAGAAGAGGGCTATGAAAAAGGGGAATGAAGGGGCACGCCAAAGGAGAATTGTATGGATATAAATGGTGGCGGGGGGGGGGGCTCATTAACACGGCTTCTGAACGTTTAGGCTTGCAGTCTGCTCCACATCCGTTTTGAGAAGGGTTCCTCTGCTCTGAGTTCGGCAAAAGGCCGCGCAGCGTAAACTGCGCAGATCTAGTTAAAAGTTGCATATGCCAGATAAGCTTTGTATAATCAGCTCTGCTTCTGGGAACCGAACGTTGCTGCACTTTCTGTATTGTAAGCTGCATGGGTATAATTAATAATAATAATAATAATAATAATAATAATAATAATAATAATTTATTTCTACCCCGCCCATCTGGCTGAGCCTCCCCAGCCACTCTGGGTGGCTTCCAATCAAGTGTTAAAAACAATACAGCATTAAATATTAAAAACTTCCCTAAACAGGGCTGCCTTCAGATGTCTTTTAAAGATAAGATAGCTACTTCTTTCCTTCACATCTGAAGGGAGGACGTTCCACAGGGCGGGCGCCACTACCGAGAAGGCCCTCTGTTTGGTTCCCTGTAACCTCACTTCTCGCAATGAGGGAACTGCCAGAAGGTCCTCGGCGCTGGATCTCAGTGTCCGGGCTGAATGATGGGGGTGGAGATGCTCCTTCAGGTATACTGGGCCAAGGCCGTTAGGGCTTTAAAGGTATATTTAATGAAACACATGAATAATGAATAGTTAAAACTAAATAAGGGAATGAAACAACCGAAGGCTCAAAGGGCAAATCAGAGGTGGAAAGTTGGCCGGGAGCAGTTCTAGAGAAATCAGTGGGGTGATGGGGTGAAGTAATGGTTGGAGAATGAGAGCTGATGGACATGGTTGAGAAAATAAGCATGGCGGAAGCCTTGGGCCTGATGCTTGGGTCAAATCAAAGGTATAACACATTCGGAGATGGGGGCAGTGTCCTGATGTGGGCAGGGTGCTGTTTGGCAGACTAATTCACCACATTTTTATTCATTAGAGAGCAGTCAGCCCAGGACGAATTCAGACGCAGTCAGCAGAAAGCATTCTAAGAAAATAGGGAGATCACAATTAAGGTGAAGGGGAGGTGATGGCTTGATAGGAGGCTCTATCCACAGCCGGGTGTTGTAAAGCAGGGAAGGCCTGACACTGCCAGCCTTCTCAAGATAAAGGACAGCTCAGGATTTGCACCGCTTTCCTGGCTGTGTGTGTGTCTTGCCTTGCCTGTGTTCAGCCACATCAGCCTGTTGTCAGCACCTTTCCGCAGCGTCCTCTCCACCTGGGACTCTACGAATGCACGTGCTGATTTGCCCAGGGTGCCACCAATTAAGGTGGGAGGGAGGTGAGGTGGCAAACTGCACTGGCTCCCAGTGGAGTACAGGGTCAGGTTTAAGGTGCTGGTTTTAACCTTTAAAGCCCTATGCTGCCTAGGACCCACGTACCTACGGGACCGCCTCTCCTGGTGTGCCCCACGGAGGACCTTAAGGTCCATAAATAACAACACTTTGGAGGTCCGGAGCCTCAAGGAGGTTAGATTGGTTTCAACTACGGCCAGGGCCTTTTCAGCACTGGCCCCGACGTGGTGGAACGCTCTGTCACAAGAGACTAGGGCCCTGCGGGACTTGACATCTTTCCACAGGGCTGCAAGACAGAGCTGTTCTGCCTGGCCTTTGGTTTGGACTCGGTCTGACCCTTATGTTTCCCTCCCCTTATGGTCTTGATTTATTGCTATTTTAAAACGAGGCTGCATTTTAACCTGTATTTTAAATTGTGTTTTTCCCCCCTCCCTCTCTTTCCCCCCTATTATGTTTTTACTGTTTTATTTTATTGGTGTTAGCTGCCCTGAGCCTGGCTCTGGCCGGGGAGGGCAGGGTATAAATAAAATTTATTATTACTATATTATTATTATTATAAAGTGGATTGTACCACATCAGACAATGTGGGAGGCTGCCAATGCTGAATGTTCCCAACTGTCTCATGGCCTTGCTTTTTCCATCCACCACAGTCGTGGCAATTGCTGCCTATTGCTCTAGCCGTGTAGAATGTGGTTTATGCTGCCTGTTCTCCATCGAGTGGCAAGCCGCAGCCATGTAGGAGTGAAATGACTGTGCAAAGCACAATGCGGTCCTGGCAAAATGTGCACCTCTGCTTATTCTGGACCCTGTGCAGGTGATCCTCACTCTTTCCTTAAGAGCTTGGCACTTTGTAAATGCTGAAGAGCAGCAGTGGTGGCAGTGCTCAAATGCACATGCTAGCTTGGTCAACCCCAATGGAGATGAATGGCGCAGGGGTGTGTGTGTGTTGCGTTCAGTGTTCTGTGCAAAGAAGAGGAGCACACTGAGACCTGCCGCTGTGATTTGGGTTTTAGAGGGGGCTTCTAGGCTGCAGTACAAGTGATGTCCTCCAGAGGGAGCATGGGGAGTCTCCTGGATGTTGAAAGAGAGCGATTCTACATTGCTCTCTGATCAGTGTAGCCGCAGTACAGAAACCCAGGTGCATTCACTCACACGCACACACACACACACACAAACAAATGCACACATTTAACACACAGAGGCATGAGAACAACCTGACGAGTCTGACATGATCCACTGCCTGATGTAGGAACCAGGGTGTGGCAGGGATCTGCAACTGGCCCAGCGAGGAGAGATATAGATTTGACACGAGACCCGTTGCAGGATCAAGTGAAGGCCCAACGCCCATGCATACGTGGTGGAGAGACAGCGTTCGATCTAGGATCAAGTGTCCGCAAACTAAACAGAACACTGCACAACCTTAAGAGATCCCTGTAGATCTGGGATGCGGAATCTCACACCACAGGATCTGGGGAAGGTGGGTGAGTGTGGGCTTGTAAAGATCCACTTTGTCCTGGTGGAAGTTTCAACGGGACTCTGTAGAAAGGACACCCCGGCCACCAGCGCCCCAAGAAATCTGAAGGCGATATAGGTGTGGAATTCAAAAAGATCAGAGTCTTCCCACCCCCTGCCTTTGAGTAGGCAGGATCTGCTGGCCCTACAGGACTCAAGCATTGATGCCCAACTCTACAGGAGTTCAGAAAGATGGGTGTGTCCCTCTCCCCCCAACCCTTCCTCTACCCACGTCAGTAACCAGGCCCCTTCCAAGTGCACACATCTCACATGTATCCCTGAGCTGAACTGAACCAAGGCCTCTCCAGTCACAGCAAAGCCCTTTCTTTCTTTCTTTCTTTCTTTCTTTCTTTCTTTCTTTCTTTCTTTTCCTCGGGGGCTCAAGGCAAACCCCCAGTGCTGTCCTTGATGCCCACCTTCTCCTGCAACTTGTCCACTTCCTCCTTGTGGGCCAGCTCAGACTCCTCCTGGATGCGGCGCTGAGCTGTCTCCTTCTTCAGGAACTCGATCTCTCTGTAAGAGGGGAAGAGCCAGAGTCAGAAGCATATAATAATAATAATAATAATAATAATAATAATAATAAGAAGAAGAAGAAGAAGAAGAAGAAGAAGAAGAAGAAGAATAACAAGAGCCAGTGTGGTGTAGTGGTTAAGAGCAGTGGACTCGTAATCTGGAGAACCGGGTTCGCTTCCCCGCTCCTCCATGTGCAGCTGCTGGGTGACCTTGGGCTAGTCATACTTCTCTGAAGTCTCTCAGCCCCACTCACCTCACAGAGTGTTTGTTGTGGGGGAGGAAGGGAAAGGAGAATGTTAGCCGTTTTGAGACTCCTTAAAGGGAGTGAAAGGTGGAATATCAAATCCAAATTCTTCTTCTAATAATAATAATAAATTTTATTTATACCCCCGACCCCCCCCAGCCAGAGCTAACAACAATAAAATCACAGTAAAAACATAATGGGGGGGGGGAAGAGAGGGGGGGAACCAATTTAAAATACAGGTTAAAATGCAATTTAAAATGCAGCCTCATTTTAAAGTAGCTGATAAATCAAGACCATAAGGGGAGGGAAATATAAGGGCCAGACCGAGTCCAAACCAAAGGCCAGGTGGAACAGCTCTGTTTTGCAGGCCCTGCGGAAAGATGTCAAGTCCCGCAGGGCCCTAGTCTCTTGTGACAGAGCGTTCCACCACGTCGGGGCCAGTGCTGAAAAGGCCCTGGCCCTAGTTGAAACCAATCTAACCTCCTTGAGGCTCTGGATCTCCACAGTGTTGTTATTTGTGGACCTTAAGGTCCTCCGCAGGGCATATCAGGAGAGGCGGTCCCGTAGGTCCTTAAAGCAAGGATGGGCAACCGGTGGCCTCCGTACATGTTGGGACTCAAAATCCCACCAGCCCCAGTCAGTATGGACCAGGGATGGTCAGGGATGAGGTGAGCTGCAGTCCAGCAACATCTAGCTATCCTAGAGGCTCCCCATTCCTGCCTCCAGAAGGAGCTGGTTAAGAGCCAAGCAGGGGGAGTCTCCTGGATGTTGGGGAATGTTGGAAATGTTGGGGGATGGTCTAACCTTAGGGCCATCAGAAGAGTTCAGAAGAAGAAGAGTTTGGATTTGACATCCCGCTTTATCTTTTTTTTTCATGCATAATTTTTATTGATTTGCATAATAAAAAAATACAGAAGTTCAACATCTTATTTTTACAGATTTTTTGGTTTGACTTCCTTCAGCCGTTCCACAAATCTTTCGTACCAATCTTTTATAAAGTTTCGCATTTCCTATTTTGTAAAGACATCCCGCTTTATCACTACCCAAAGGAGTCTCAAAGAGGCTAATGTTCTCCTTTCCCTTCCTCCCCCACAACAAACACTCTGTGAGGTGAGTGAGGCTGAGAGACTTCAGAGAAGTGTGACCCAGCAGCTGCATGTGGAGGAGCGGGGAAGCGAACCCGGTTCACCAGATTACTAGTCTACCGCTCTTAACCACTACACCACACTGGCTCTTGTTCAGATCGGTTGGAAGCTGCCCAGAGTGGCAGGGGCAACCCAGTCAGATGGGCAGCATATGATGATGATGATATTACTACATATGCAGCAGGACATAGCAGAGGTAAAGGTAAAGGACCCCTGGACAGTTAAGTCCAGTCAAAGGCGACTACGGGGTTGCAGCGCTCATCTCGTTTCGGGCCGAGGGAGCCAGCGTTTGTCCACAGACAGCTTTCTGGTCATGTGGATAGCATGACTAAACTGCTTCTGGCACTACAGAACACCGCAACGGAAACCAGAGCGTACAGAAACGCTGTTTACCTTCCCGCCGCAGCGGTACCTATTTATCTACTAGCACTGGTGTGCTTTCGAACTTGTAGGTTGGCATGAGCTGGGACAGAACAACGGGAACGCACCATGTCGGGGGATTCGAATTGCTGACCTTCCGATCAGCAAGCCCAAGAGGCTCAGTGGTTGAATAGCAGAATGCTGAGTTGGCAAAGTGAATCGGTCCGTTTTAGGGTAGAGGCGGGAGACGCCCTTTTCATATGCTTTCTCCATGTTAAAAACAAACAAACTCCTCCTTGGAAGTACAAGAACAACCATAACTAGCCTACCAGAGAGAAAGGTTCTTGTTTTCCCTTCTTGACTAGTTTTATTTGCAGGCAACCTTTTCCATGGGGAAGCATTCAAAACGTCATTCCACACCTATAGTCTGAAGCAATTCAGTCCATTCCACCACCTCAGAACTCTCCCACCATGTTCCCACCAGGGTCCCATTTTCCTGAAATAGTCCAAGCGCTCTCATGACAATCTTGCGATACTAAGGGTAGTAGACCAGTGGGGTTTAAATTTAGCTGAAGCCAATAATGAAATGTCCTACATCAAATCTGTAATTCAGCGGAGGGAGATTAGCCTCCAAGTGCAATGAAGCATTTGGAAAACAGGATGGAACAGAAAAAAAATTGCCTTAGGAAATTAAGATTGAACAACTTCTGTAGATTCAAGGTGAGTGCCTGTCCAAATCTGAGCCCCATATAATATAACAGTGCTAGGGGTTTAGCTTTAAACACTTCAGGGCTGATGGTATGGGATTGCCACCTTTCGTATGGAAAAAGCGTATCAGAATTTTGGCACTTTGAGACGCTTTTTCCTTTGCACTGTTTAATTTACATATAAATGATATTGTCCAGAGTGTAACATCCCCAGAGTATAATGGCCCTAAATTGGCCAGAAAAACCATCCTCTATCTATACCTGTGATGGCCAAACTCGGCCCTCCAGCTGTTTTGGGACTACAGTTCCCATCATCCCTGACCAATGGTCCTGTTAGCTAGGGATGATAGGAGTTGTAGTCCCAAAACAGCTGGAGGGCCAAGTTTGGCCATCACTGCTCTATACAGTGGAACCTTGGTTCACGAACAAAATCTATTCGGCTTCTGAAACTTTCGAAAACTGAGGCACAGCTTCCCATTGGTTGAAAGAGCTTCTTGCACTCAGCGGAAGCCACGTTGCATGTTCTGGTTCCGAAAAACGTTCAAAAATGGAAGCATTTACTTCCGGGGTTTTGGCGTTCGGGAACCGAAATGTACGAGAGCGGAGGTGTTCGGGAACCGAGGTTCCACTGTATTATTATACAAAAATGATGCAGTACTTCTATCTCAAACGAAACTGGGCCTAAAAAGGTTGATGAGGGCATTCTCCCTTTGCAATTCTATGTGTGATGGCCTGGGACTCGGGCTCAGACTCGGAACCAGAGGAGTCTCAGTCTGCACCGGATCCTTTGCCTCAGGCATCATCTGAACCAAGTCTGGGGCCTGATTCTGAAGAGTCCCAGTCTGCACAGCTTCCCTGCAAAAAAACACCAGCTGGGCCGAGTCAGGGGCCTGAGCCTGCCCTGGCTCCAGATGCAGGGATCACCTCATTGCCTTCAGCTGGGCCATCACTTATAGCTGCTCCACTACTGGTTTGGTCAGGGGAGGCTGAGGTGGCCCCTGGGTCTAGTAACCCACCGACGTCTCCTGAGCTGCAGAGACTGAGGTCTGAGAGAAGGAGAGACCTGAGTACTCGCAGGAGGAGTGCTCGCCTTCGGGCAAGACAGGGAGGTGAATCGCTGGGGGATCTGGACCGGCCGCTACCCCGACAAGGATAAAAGGCTGTCGGACCCTGCCCCAGGTTGCGGGAGCAACATTGCTGTAAGCTAGATCCTGCCTGAGATCCTGTACCTGTCCTTGCCTGGTTCCCTGCCTCGTGTCCTACCTTGGCCCTGTCAAACTGACTCCCAGTGGAATCTGCGGATTCTGGACTGGTCCTGGACCGCGTTTCACGGGTTACCGCCAGGCCCAGCACACTATGGTTCCATGATTCTTAGCAGACATGCATATCATTGCCCTTTACAGGGCAGGGCTCTGCAAAGGGAGTCCTTACTTCTGCTGATACTCCTTGATGAGCCTCTTAGCTTTGCTGTACTTCCTCTCCAGAGTCTGGTACTGGGCTTGGGTCTCTTTCAAGTGCTCGTCCACAGCCTGGCACAAGTTCTGGGCTTCCATCCAGTATCCCTCCAGCTTCTCCATCCGCTCCTTGTTCTCCTCCACGCTCTGTTCTAGCTGGGCTTTCTCGAGGCGCCAGCGGGATTTCTCTTGTTCGATGGACTGCAGCTGAGGGAAGACAGCGCGAGGAAGAGGTTAGCTCTTTTTCTCAGAAGCTCACTAAATCAGCACACTGCTTTGAGCCGTAATTAAAACAAAACGGGCGGTGAACATAAAGATTTGACTGACTATGAAAGAATCTAAGGGAGGGAAATGATTAAAGAACAGATGTAAAGGCGAGCAAGATACCGTATTTTTTTGCTCTATAAGACTCACTTTTTCCCTCCTAAAAAGTAAGGGGAAATGTGTGTGCGTCTTATGGAGCGAATACAGGCTGCAAAGCTATCCCAGAAGCCAGAACAGCAAGAGGGATCGCTGCTTTCACTGCGCAGCGATCCCTCTTGCTGTTCTGGCTTCTGAGATTCAGAATATTTTTTTTCTTGTTTCCCTCCTCCAAAAACTAGGTGCGTCTTGTGGTCTGGTGCGTCTTATAGAGCGAAAAATACGGTAACTAAGAGACGTGCGGTGAATGCAGTGAAAGCCTTTTATAACATTTTGACTAAGATTTATATATTGTAATGTTTGAAGCACGAATTTGGTAATATTATTGGTTATGAAAAGTATTTTTTTCTTTTTCTTTTAGTTTGTATTTTGGAAAATATGTATATAAATGTGTTTATAGTGTTATATATTGTTCTTTGTTTATCTTTCTTTTTCTTCTTTTTTTTTGGTAAAATTCAATACAAAAAAATTACAAAATAAAAAATAAAACAAAACGGACGGCAGCGACGTAGCCGAGAGCCATCACGGCGAAAGTCAGAAATAGACACGAAAAGCAGCAGCAAACATATAAGGAGTGGAAATCGCAGGAAGGTGCTCAGCTGGGCAACTGGGGCAGCAACCGAGGAGGCCCTGTTCCCTGCAGAGGTCAGTCAAACCTCCCTCCAATCAGGCTGGATTTGATTTAAATCAAATCAATCTAAATCACGATTTAAATCAGTACTCAGTAAGACTTGATTTAAATCGTGTGGTTTTTTTCACAGAAAAACTCATTCTTGCTGGTATAATCTTAATAGTTACAACCAGATGAAGCTTTCATTTTTGGAATAATACATTTTCAGAGTGGTTTTTACAGTTATATCAAAAATTACTGATTTGGTTATACTCTTAGAAATACATAGACAGATAATTATGAAATGATTGTGAGCTTTAATAAGTTAACTGTTTATATTTGGACAACTTTTCTGCTGTACTTTATTGGAAGGAGAAAATAATCATTTCCTTAATAACAATTTAAACAATTTATTTAACGGAAACAATAACATTATAGCATATGTATCCGTGTTTGTTAACTGATGTGGTTAAACATAAACAAAAAACAAAACAAAACAAAACAAACCTTAGACTGAGTTTTAGCACACATGAAAAACTTAAAACAAATCCTTATTTCCCGATAGCCTTTGGGCTATAATGTAACCTAAATAGAAAACTATCTTTAGAAATATTTTTCCTACAAAAGCACTTCATTTTAAAAATCCAATTTAAATAAAAAAAAATCCAATTTAAATTTAATAAAATCCGATTTAAATTTTTTTAAAAATCCTTTTTTTAAAAAATAAACCATTGATTTTTATCCACCCTGCCTCCAATGCTCCTTGCAGTCTCATTTTCTTGGCAGAAAAAGATATATCTCACAGTGCTTCTGGCAACCAAGGATGGGAGGTGAGATGAGATAAGCCAGGCAGTTTTGCTAGGCTGGGCAGCATTCCTAGAAAGATAGATGCCAGGAAGCTACCTAGTGGGTGGCCCCTGGCATATTTAGGTCTCCAGACCTAAACAGCTCAGGGCAAGGGATGGGATTTTTCAAAAACCTCTGCATCTGCAGACATTTCTCCCTAAGGGTGTGTACACACCATGCAGTTAAAGCATATGGCTTCCCCCAAAGAATCTTGGGAACTGTAATTGACCGCTACAGTTCCCAGCACCCTTAGCACCCTACAGTTCCCAATATTCCTCATTTGCTTTAAATGCATGACTGTTTCCCTTCTTGCTCCTTGAGCTTGTTAAGAAGCGAGCTACTGCCCCCCCCCATGAAAAACGCAAACAATTCTCGCACATTATATATGCCTTTAGTAAAGGTAAAGGGACCCCTGACCATTAGGTCCAGTGGTGACCGACTCTGGGGTTGCGGCGCTCATCTCGCTTTATTGGCCGAGGGAGCCGGCATACAGCTTCCAGGTCATGTGGCCAGCATGACTAAGCCACTTCTGGCGAACCAGAGCAGCGCACGGAAACGCCGTTTACCTTCCGCCGGAGTGGTACCTATTTATCTACTTGCACTTTGACGTGCTTTCGCACTGCTAGGTTGGCAGGAGCAGGGACCGAGCAACGGGACCTCACCCCGTCGCGGGGATTCAAACCACCAACCTTCTGATTGGCAAGTCCTAGGCTCTGTGGTTTAACCCACAGCGCCACACGCGTCCCTATATATGCCTTTACTATAGGCATAATATACCCATACTAAACGCAGACGCATTCCAGGTTCCCCAAAGTTAAACGGCACATAAAAATGTGAAGGCAACTTTATAAAAACACACTTAAGTATTCATGCTTAGAAAATGATGCTATGGAAATGTAGTGCTGCCTGGAGTTTTCCAGACCTATTATACCTATAATATTCTTATTTTGTGTGTGTATTGTTTTCCATCTAATTAGCTGTTTAAGCACACACACAACAGTGCACAAGTGGTTGGAAAATAAGCAGGTACTTGATGGTCTGATGTGGTCAGAGCTGCCAAAATCTCCATATTACCATATTTCTCATGTATACCACACCTCCTATTTTTGGGGACTCCAAATTAAGAAAATGGGGGGGGGGGCGATTGCCCAGAGTTATTGAGCTTTTTTGGGGGGGGATTGCCCATAGCTGTTGGGGGGGTGGTCCAAAATTGTTCAGCTTTTTTTTAGGGTGGATTGCCAAAAGTTGCTTACCCTCTAGCTATCGTCTGTCCCCGCGCCGGCGGAAGCCGCCAATCACCCGTCCTATTCCCGCAGCGACAGCCAATCAACACCAGCCCTTGCCGAAGCCACCAATAACCTGCGGCTGACAATCTCCAGCTCGTGGCAACAACCAATCACACGTCGCCCCCTATGCACTATTATCCATGTATAAGATGACTCCCAATTTTTACCTCTGGTTACATACTTAATTCGTTCTGGAGGTCCGTTCTTAACCTGAAACTGTTCTTAACCTGAAGCACCACTTTAGCTAATGGGGCCTCCGGCTGCCGCCGTGCCGCCGGAGCACGATTTCTGTTCTCATCCTGAAGCAAAGTTCTTAACCCGAGGTACTATTTCTGGGTTAGCGGAGTCTGTAACCTGAAGCGTATGTAACCCGAGGTACGACTGTACTTTTTTAATTAAAAAAAAACCCCCTCGTCTAATACAGTGGTGCCTCTGGTTGTGAACAGGATCCGTTCCGGAGGCCCGTTCGCCACATGAATAGAACGCAACCAGCAGCGGCATGTCTGCGCATGCGCGGGTCATGATTCACCACTTCTGCGCATGATGTCATTCTGCGCATCTGCGCATGCCCAAGCAGCGAAACCCAGAAGTAACCCTTTCCGGTACTTCTGGGTTGCTGCGGGACGCAACCTGAAAATACGTATCCTGAAGCAAACGTAACATGAGGTGTGACTGGACACGGAAAAGTACGGTAACTCCATTGATAAGGATTCCTCCACCATCCCTAGTAGGGACAGTGAAACCAACTGGCAAAATATTAGATCCATTCAAGCCTTTTATTTCAGGCACATCACTTTGGGCTCACCCTTCCGCCAAGAAGCTCAGGGTGGCTTTTATGGGGCTGTTTCTATTTTATCTTTGCAAGAGAAGAATCTCGGGACTGTGACCATGAGGGTGGGGCAGGGCCTACGAAAACAGATTAAAAATAGCCCCGCTATTAAAAGAAGAAGCTCTTACAGCGCTTGTGGAAAACGCTCTCAGCCGTGGATTTGGGCAAGTCTCCAAGGGGAGGGAAAGGGATCTCATAGCTTACCTTTCTTTTCAGCTGCTGTATTTCAGCCTCGGTCACGGCATGCTTGATCTGGAGCTGCCAAAAGAGAAGAACAGAGAGTTCAGGGCGGGGAAACCTTTTCCAGGCTGAGGGCCACATTCCCACCCCGGAGCAGCCTTCCGGGGGCCACTGCGGTGGGTGGAGCCAGAGGCAGAAGCGGAACACAGAAGCAAATGTCAATCCTGCCTCTGTTCCTTACATTCCATTCCCTTTATCCAATAGCTGCCGCTTTATCAATTGCTGCCCATACATTTATTGCATACTTCTAAAGAACAAAAGAGGTTACACCCCCACCGCCTGTCTATCTAGCCCAATGGTTGCCATCAATTTGATTTGAATTAGTTTTATAATGAAATGATTTTAGAATGTTGTATTATTTTATTGTTGTTAGCCACCCTGAGCCCGGCTTCGGCTGGGGAGGGCAGGATATAAATAAAATTTATTATTATTATTATTATTATTATTATTATTATTATTATTATTATTATTTACTTAGTATTTTTATATTATTTTCCCTTTCTTATCATCTTGCATGTGTAACTTTTCTTTCTTTCCCCCCCAAATAATTTTTATTTGATTTTACAAACATTAATTTATAACCATACCAAATACACACCCATCTAATGAGATTTCTCTGAATCTCAAGACTTCCTCTCTGGCAAGGACTCTTTCTTCTTTCCATTTCTGGGCTGCACGTGTAACTTTTCAAAAAATAAAAAATAAAAAATCCTACTCTCCACCCTAGAGAGATCCCTATTTTCCACCCTTACTTTGGTTTTGTCCAATTCCTATCCCCAACAACTATCGCTTTATCAAAACAAAAAGAAATTACACACACCCCTGCCTATCCATTTCAGATCACTTATTATTTCTATCTTATTTTCCCCTTCTTTTCTTCTTGCGTATGCAGCTGTCTGTATCCTCTTTCCTCATTCATTAGTTGAGTTCACCTTCTGAGGCCCTCCTTCATGTGCCTCCTTCCTTGAGAGGTCCGGAGGGTGGCAACACAAGGACAGGGCCTTCTCTGCAGTGGCTCCCCGTCTGTGGAATGCTCTCCCCAGGGAAGTTCGCCTGGCGCCTTCATTATACACCTTTGGGCACCAGGCAAAAACATTCCTTTTTAACCAGGCCTTTGGTTGACCTGATCAATATCCTATACCTTTTTAAAATGTGGCTCTTGGGGGGGGGTGGCGGCATGTTATTGGGTTATTGATTTTATTTTGATTTTATATGTTGTGATCTTTTTTGTGAACTGCCCTGGGACCTCCGGGTATAGGGCAGTATATAAACTCAATTAATAACAACAACAACAACAACTGGGTAAGTGAGTGAAAAATGACATGTTAAGACCTAAGCTGGGGGGTTGTGAATAGGTATGTGCACATCACCAGTTTTTTTTGCCATCTTTATTATCTCCCCCAAAGCTGCTATTATTCCCCTACACCCCTAAACCCTTTGATTTGGCTCCAGCCAACTTTCTTCATCTTCTTGCCCCATGCTATCTACCTATAACTCCGAGAATTTTCTTTGTTTCTTTTGTCCCTCCGCTTACCCCCAGGAAAACCCGCTCGTTACCGCTGAATGGGAACAAACGTCCGCACAAAACCCGACTGACTTTGTTACGATTCAGCGGCTTTTCCCCGGGGGGAAATCGGGGCGAACGAAAAGCCTCTCGGACCCACACCTAGAAAAAGTATGGGGCAAGGGAAAAAGAGTGTGAACGAGCCAAAAACCGGCAGCGGCTCTCCAGGATTTCATGCTTACCAGGAGATGATGGGGACTGAAACCCGGGTCCTTTTGCTTGCAAGGCAGATAGTCTGCCAGTGAGCTACGGCCCTTCTGTGTCTGTCTGTCTGTCTGTCTGTCTGTCTGTCTGTCTGTCTCTTGAAATCCAGCACAGCGTGTCAGCAAGCCAGCACTGGGGCTGGCTCGATTCTAGGTGCCTAAATGGAAGCTTGCTGACACACATTCCAGGGTCAACTAGAGGCTGCTACCCACATTACAGAAGAAGGAGAGACATTAAAATTTAGCGCCTCCCAGGCTGCCTTTCTCTTGTCTTTAATTGCCACTTACACACTGCAGAAGATGGCAAGGGAGAGTTAGAGCTGCCTGCGGCTGTTCATTACACTTGGCCACATATATTTATGGGGGGTGGGTTGAGGGAGGAAAGGGGTAACTTCCTCACATGCCGCTGGGCAGAAGCAGACGTACGGAAAACGCAAGAAGGTACCAACAGTGGAAGAATGGCAGATGAAGATGATGGATTTTTCGGAGCTAGCCGACCTGACTGGAAGAGTCCATGACCAGAAGGAGGAGGAGTACCAGAGAGAACGGACGGAATTTAATGACTATTTAGTTAAATATGTCAAGTTAAATTAATTGGAAAAAGCTTGCAAATACCGGATAGGCTTAGGATTCAAATATGTAATGTGATCAACTAATATGTTTAATACCGAATTGGGAAGAAAGAAAGATGTTAAGTGACCAGGTTAATTTTATAAGAATATTGATTTGGAAAACCGTTAAAATGATATACAGTGGTACCTTGGGTTAAGTACTTAATTCGTTCTAGAGGTCTGTACTTAACCTGAAACTGTTCTTAACCTGAAGCACCACTTTAGCTAATGGGGCCTCCTGCTGCTGCTGCGCCGCCGGAGCACAATTTCTGTTCTCATCCTGAAGCAAAGTTCTTAACCTGAAGCACTATTTCTGGGTTAGCGGAGTCTGTAACCTGAAGCGTATGTAACCTGAAGCGTATGTAACCAGAGGTACCACTGTACGCTGAAATCCAACCAGGGGGATACGAGGAAGTCACTTAACAATGTTAATTGGATTAGTTTGAATAAGGTTATGATTTATGTGTGTTTGCTTATTTGTTTCTGTGTTTAAATTTTTGTGAAAATCAATAAAAAAAAGGAAAACAAAGAAGCAGACGTATGAAGCTTAACGTTTGCTAGCTTCCACAACAGCTACGCATAAGGCAGCCTCCAGCGAGATGCCTGAAAGGGATTCCTTCCCCTGGCAAGGATGTGGAGGGGGCTGCCGTTTTAGGAGACTTGTATTACACATGCAGCAGCCGTGTGGCATCGCGGTTTCTGTGCAGCTGAGCTAAAAGCGGAGGGGAGCAGCTCCCATCAAGCGTTATGCTCTAAACTTAGAGACAAGAACAGAGGGCTGCGTCGGCCACTAGGGGTCAGCCGAGACGTGCAGCCATGGGCCAGGGATATGAAAAGCACAGAGGCACCGATTTCTCGCAAACCGCACATAAAACACAAGGAGCCTCGTGGCAGCTTGGCCGTCGCCACTTCCTTCCTCTCTACGCTCACCAGCCTGGTTTCCTTCCCACCTCACCGCCTGAAGGTTTAACTGATTCCCCCTTGCTGGGCTGGGCAGATCGACAAAACCCATTCTCTCCTTTCCCTGTGTTTCAACACGACATTTCTATGGTTCAAGGGGTGCCAGAAATGCCACAAGGAGAAGCCCAATGGCGTTCCTCCTTCAGACATAGGTGGCACACATTCCAAGCACGACTTCTCCCAAAGATCTGGGGAACTGTAGTTTACTCCCTCGTGGTGCTACAATTCCCAGCACCCTTAACAAACTGTGGTTCCCAGGATTCTTTGCGGAGAAGTCATGCGCTTTACATGTGTGAGGTGTGTGTCATTTGCAGGTGCATCCTTTAAAAAAACCACCATAAAAGAGAGAGATGTTTACCAAGACTGGGAAGATACTATGGCCATGTCATGGCACAACCTTGCTCCCAGATTAGACCATTCCCATGCAGAAAATCCCACCTACTCCAAAGGTTAGTATCTTTTGCCAAATCTCCTTGCCCCCATCACAAAAATCTCCAGTGCTGCTTTGCTCCCACTTCCTGAAACCTATGAAAATAAATTGAATTCATGCGACTGTCTCCTAGCTCTCAAGCCACTGTGACTGCTATGTGATCACAAAAGCAAACTGCATTTTTTTAGTCAGTTAGAAAGGTTTTTAATTGTTTAATCTAGCCAGTTAACCGGTTAAAGACTGCACTCTACTCCTTATATCTGCTTCCTGGATCCTCTTGGTTCTCTAACCAGAGCTAGGAAGTGGGATCAGCTGGCAGTTATAGCCTGCCACTGTCTTAGCTGGTTTTTGCCAATTGTGCCTCATCCATTACAAAGTCTGATTTTTCTGGTCTCCCACCCCTCTTGCTTCTGGAGAATGTTTATTTTTAAACCCAGACTCGGCATTCGTGCAGCTGCGGGCAATGTTAAATTTGCATGCGTTTAAAATATATTAGCAGATTCAACTGCCTTCCCCCAACACCACCACTCCCTTCTGATTTATTCTTGTAAAGAAGCTGGTAAAATGCGGTCTTGACTATGCTACCACTCAGTGGATTTGTAACTGGCTGACTGACCGAACCCAAAGGGTGCTCATCAATGATTCCTCTTCATCCTGGAGAAGAGTGACTAGTGGGGTGCCACAGGGTTCTGTCTTGGGCCCGGTCTTATTCAACATCTTTATCAAAGACTTGGATGATGGACTCAATCAAGGGCATCCTGATCAAATTTGCAGATGACACCAAACTGGGAGTGTGGCTAACACCCCAGAGGACAGGATCACACTTCAAAACGACCTTGACAGATTAGAGAACTGGGCCAAAACAAACAAGATGAACTTTAACAGGGAGAAATGTAAAGTATTGCACTTGGGCAAAAAAAATGAGAGGCACAAATACAAGATGGGTGACACCTGGCTTGAGAGCAGTACATGTGAAAAGGATCTAGGAGTCTTGGTTGACCACAAACTTGACATGAGCCAACAGTGTGACACGGCAGCTAAAAAAGCCAATGCAATTCTGGGCTGCATCAATAGGCGTATAGCATCTAGATCAAGGGAAGTGATAGTGCCACTGTATTCTGCTCTGGTCAGACCTCACCTGGAGTACTGTGTCCAGTTCTGGGCACCACAGTTCAAGAAGGACACTGACAAACTGGAACATGTCCAGAGGAGGGCAACCAAAATGGTCAAAGGCCTGGAAACGATGCCTTATGAGGAACGGCTAAGGCAGCTGGGCATGTTTAGCCTGGAGAAGAGGTTAAGGGGTGATATGATAGCCATGTTCAAATATATAAAAGGATGTCTAATGGAGGAGGGAGAAAGGTTGTTTTCTGCTGCTCCAGAGAAGCGGACACGGAGCAATGGATCCAAACTACAAGAAAGAAGATTCCACCTAAACATTAGGAAGAACTTCCTGACAGTAAGAGCAGTTCGACAGTGGAATTTGCTGCCAAGGAGTGTGGTGGAGTCTCCTTTGGAGGTCTTTAAGCAGAGGCTTGACAACCATATGTCAGGAGTGCTCTGATGGTGTTTCCTGCTTGGCAGGGGGTTGGACTCGATGGCCCTTGTGGTCTATTCCAACTCTATGATTCTATGATTCTGAGAAGTGAAGTGCGCATATGCACAACCCATGTGCTCAAGTGCTTCTGCAGCCACCTCCGCAACTCAGCAAACAGCACCCTTCCCTGTTTGAGTCAAAGAACAAAGGTTTTCAGTTCCCTAAGCTGCAGGTAAAGGTAAAGGTAAAGGGAACCCTGACCATTAGGTCCAGTTGTGGCAGACTCTGGGGTTGCGGCACTCATCTTGCTTTATTGGCCGAGGGAGCCGGCATACAGCTTCCGGGTCATGTGGCCAGCATGACTAAGCTGCTTCTGGAGAACCAGAGCAGCGCACGGAAACGCCGTTTACCTTCCTGCCGGAGCGGTACCTATTTATCTACTTGCACTTTGACGTGCTTTCGAACTGCTAGGTTGGCAGGAGCAGGGACCAAGCAACGGGAGCTCACCCCATTGCGGGGATTCGAACTGCCAACCTTCTGATCGTCAAGTCCTAGGCTCTGTGGTTTAACCCACAGTGCCACCCGCGTCCCTTAAGCTGCAGGTAGCTGGGGCCATTTCTGTGGTGTGCTTAGAAACAAGAAAAGGTTCCACGGATGTTTTCATTAGTCATGTGACACTTCCATCAGCCACAGAAGCCACTGTATCCCTTTTAGGTCCCCAGTGAGGAATATGTGGCCTTCTGGAGTTTGTTGGACTTCACTCCCCATTATCACAGTCCTGCTGGCTGAGACTGATGGGAGCTGGGAGCCCAACAACATCGAAAAGCTTACGGGTTCCTTATCCTTTCCTTTTAGGCCTTTCCTTACCTCCTTAAATTTATGCACCAGCTTTTCAGGGTCCATCTCAACTGGAGACAGCATGTCTTCGTTTTCAGCCAGCTCAAAGACCTCAATGGCCATCTCGCTGCTGGGGAACATGGGACTCATCTCTTCGTCTTCGTCTGTGGCATATTCACCCGTCTGCAAATTGAGAAACAGGCAAGCTTTATGGTTTGGCTTTTAAAGTTAACATCGATGCTGGACAGAACCAAGTGTGTGTTCAGATAGCGCCCTGAGACCCACGAAGAGGGGAAAACAGCAAACGGTCTTGTGGAACCTTAAAAACCAAGGTACTCATTATGGCATAAGCTTTTGTATTCGCTTTGTTGTTGTTCATAAATCCCACATCAGCAATGCCGTCAAGCCTTGCCACTTCTGATGCCAGATTTGTGCTTACAGTGGTACCTCGGGTTACAGACGCTTCAGGTTACACACTCCGCTCACCCAGAAATAGTGCTTCAGGTTAAGAACTTTGCTTCAGGATAAGAACAGAAATCGGGCTCCGGCGGCGCAGCAGCAGCAGCAGGAGGCCCCATTAGCTAAAGTGGTGCTTCAGGTTAAGAACAGTTTCAGGTTAAGAACAGACCTCTGGAACGAATTAAGTACTTAACCTGAGGTACCACTGTATTCTTCTTTGATTGGACTACAGTGGTACCTCTGGATACGAACGGGATCCGTTCCAGAGCCCCGTTCGCATCCAGAAGCAAACATAACTAGTGACGGCACGTCTGTGCAAGTGCGTGTCGCTTTTTGCCACTTCTGTGCATGTGCGTGACATCATTTTGAGCGTCTGCGCATGCGACAAAACCCAGAAGTAACACACTCCGTTACTTCCGGGTTGCCGCAGAGCGCAACTCGAACACGCTCAACATGAAGCATATTCAACCCGAGATATGACTGTACAGTCTATGAAAACTTGTGCCACAGTGCACTAGTTGAGTCTTTAAGGCACCACAAATACTTTTTGCTGTTTCTGCTGCAAAACAGACTTTACACAGCTACGCGTCTGGAAACTTAACAAAGAGAGAGAGATGTAAAAGTGAGTCATGCTTTCAGTTTTCACATGGCTCGAGTAATAACGAAAAGGGATGTGTGGAGGAAATGTACAAGCTAATTCCACACCAGGGGACTTGCACATCTTCCCAAAGCCACTCTCTTTTCAAATGTTACCATGTAAAAACAGCAAGTGGAGCTTGCTTGTACTTCCTCTCTCCCAGCATCGAGAGAATGTCTGAAACCATACACATAAACGCTGCAGGCTTAAAACATTAGGAGTAGCCAGAGGAGGAGACACCAATGGCCCTTCTATGATCTCCAGCACAAATATTCCTTTGGTATTCAATGTCTTGATACAAGAAAGAAGGCTGATTGTTCCCCTGCCTCCAACCGTGGCAAGCCAGGGACCTCCATGAAACTTCCAATAGGCTGCTTCAGTGGAGAAAGCCATTCTCTATATTATTTGTACCTAGCAGGTATCCTGTTGTTGGAAATGGAGGTTCCATTCTTAGCTGTCATGGTCAATAGCCAATGACAGACCTGCCTTCTGTTAGCAGGTACAGTGGTACCTCGGGTTAAGAACCTAATTTGTTCTGAAGGTCCGTTCTTAAGCTGAAACTGTTCTTAACCTGAGGTACCACTTTAGCTAATGGGGCCTCCTGCTGCCGCCGCACGATTTCTGTTCTTAACCCGAGGTACTATTTCTGGGTTAGCAGAGTCTGTAACCTGAAGCGTCTGTAACCTGAGGTACCACTGTATTGTATTGTCAAAAGCAGAATGCACTTTGGTTTGCTTACCCAGAGAAAGTTAACCTCATGCTGACCCAGGCCTTACAGCAAACAATCTGAACTGTAATGTGCTACAGAATTTTGCGATGACTGGCAGCAGGGCCATCTTACCCATAGGTGCTAGGGGTGCAGGCCACCCGGGCGCTGGGCTCTCAGGGATACCAGGCCGAGAGTCCGGGGAAGAGCCCACCTGTCGGTCGGAGTGCTGCGGTGGGCTCTTCTGCTGCGGGCAGCTCTGCGCCACGAATTCGGGGGCAACCGAGCCAGAGAGATGTTGAGGCGGTTGGCCAGCCCTCCTGTGCACCTGGGACTGGGCAAACTGGAGGTGCGTATCAGGTGGACCTTTGCACCCCGGCGCCACATATGCTTAAGACAGCCCTGACTGGCAGAGATGGTTGCGAACCCTCTAGCACCCATTCAGCTAGTACATTGGCCTCCGCTGGAGACAAGCGTAATTCTCAGGTACCACTTTAAAAGAAACCAAAGCTTACCCATTTAAAGATGGCACACAGGAATTTGAATTATTATTTTTTCTTCCAAAGACTGGTTTCGGACATGGGTAGCAAGCATGACAAGAGGCCTGGGAATATGAGTGGAAGAAGGGACAAAGGGGACTTTTGGCAGTCGGCTTACAAAAAAATTGGGGGGAAGGAGAGACAGAGAGAGGGTGGGAAAGAGGGAAGTGGCTGGAAGAATAGGACAGGGATGGAAGGCTGCTCTTCCGGGCACATGGAGCAACAGGGCAGAGGGATGGGAAGGGAGAGGCACGGAAGAGGCATGGAAAGGGAGATGAAGGAGGAGACAGCAGACAGATTTAATGAAGGACTAGAAACTTAAGAAGGGCTCCAATTGTAGGCAAGGCTTGATGCTATCGATTTATTCTGTTTCTTTATTCAGGGCCCCTCTTGACTGGCATTTTGTGGCTTTTTATTTCTCGTTTCGCAACATGTCCTTGACGCAATAATAGTGCATTAATGGCGGGTTTATGCTGGACCATTCACGCACCACCCTGCTTTTTTTAGTTGCTCCCCCAGTGCAGCCACATTGCTGCTGTTTGAAGAGGCTACAGAGCGACAGAAGCCGGGACCAGACGAAAAAGCCCCCTCAGAACACCTGTGGTATGAAAAGTGACAGGAAATGCGCCGATCGGAAAGGAAGCTTCATGACTGTGCTGAAACCTTTGCCAGGCACAGAGCAGTATTGAAAGCGGGACTGTGCAGCACAATAAATTGCCGTGAATGCACAATGAAAAGAATTTGTCCGGAGTAGGCCTCGGTTTCAGCCAAAAACGTAGCCATCACAAAGAGTCCGCAAGGGAACCACAACTTCCTCTGGCTCTCCTTTATGTTCAGAGGGCTGACAAGAGGAACGAGGAGGGGATATGGGGCGCCGTGTCCTTTTCCTCCTCTCCCCAACAGGCTGGGAGAAACCCGTCCCACTTACTTCTTCGTCCTCCTCCGTGTACTGGGTATACCTCTGCTCCATCATTTCCCGCTGCCACCGTTCCTGCTCCAGCGTCTGCTGGATGAGTTGAGCCACCTCGCTCTGCTCGCCCGGCTTTTCTCTCCCAATCAGGAACCTAAGGAAAACGAAAGAGGTGGGAGAGAGGGGGATAAGAGTACGGATCTCAAAGAAGTGGGTCAACACACTAGGAGTTATGCGGCCAGGCTATATATACACACACACACATATATGCACTGGGCTCAAAAAGATCCCAGCACAATCACGTTTCTGAGCTGTGATACAACTGGAACGGATTTGCTTATTTTGTGCAATCAATTCTTCTTCGGTCATGCAAGGAGGACAAGGAAGTACGCCGAGGACTGGAGTCCTCTCATCCCACTAAGTGGAAGCCCTTCCCCGCTACCATTTTAGAGGGCTATAATACATACCGTATTTTTTGCTCTATAAGACTCACTTTTCCCCTTCTAAAAAGTAAGGGGAAATGTGTGTGAGTCTTACGGAGCGAATGCAGGCTGCGCAGCTATCCCAGAAGCCAGAACAGCAAGAGGGATTGCTGCTTTCACTGCGCAGCGATCCCTCTTGCTGTTCTGGCTTCTGAGATTCAGAATATATTTTTTTCTTGTTTTCCTCCTCCAAAAACTAGGTGTGTCTTATGGTCTGGTGCGTCTTATAGAGCGAAAAATATGGTAGCTGTCAACGTTTCCCTTTTTTTAAGGGAAATTCCCTTATTCTGAATAGGATTCCTTGCAAGAAAAGGGAAAAGTTGACAGCTATGCTATAATAGCTGCGCTGTGGGGGAATCTGTGATTAGATATTCTGGCATTTTTAAACTTAAAAACAGTTGCCAGAGCTCCCTGATTTTGATTGGGAGAGTGTTGCTGTTGAGGGAGGGGTGGTTAAACTCTTCCTCGTTTCCCCTCATTTAACTCTCTCACCACCTAAGTTCCAACGGGGGGTGGGGTGGGGGAATATAGATATTGTATTGTGCCTGTCTTTCTCCCACAGCAGGACTTATGGCACCTTTGGGTGTGTGGGATTTTGGTTGAGGAAATCATGCCAAAGGGTTAAAAACCCAGAGCCATTGATTCACTAACAATTGGGAGTCCCACTGCCACAGTCCTCTAGACCAGTGGTCAGCAAACGTTTTCAGCAGGGGGCCGGTCCACTGTCCCTCAGACCTTGTGGGGGGCCGGACTATATTTTGAAGAAAAGAAATGAACAAATGCCTATGGCCCACAAATAACCCAGAGATGCATTTTAAATAAAAGGGCACATTCTACTCATGTAGAAACACACTGATTCCTGGACCATCCACAGGCCGGATTTAGAAGGCAATTGGGCTGGATCCGGCCCCCGGGCCTTAGTTTGCCTACCCATGCTCTAGACAGATCTTCGGCTTTGAGGTTTTTTAAAATTAAGAGCAGTATATAAAAAAACAAATCTTTCTTGTTGTATCTATTGGTCCCCAATATTTGACAAGTTGCTACCCATTGTTTTTAGGCGGAGGGCGGGAAAAGAGAGTTGTTGCAATCAACTAACCAAGGAGCCCATGGGTATATGTCCCATGGATACAGAACCAGAAAGCCATACAGATTTCAGGAGCCTGGTCTTTGCCTGAGACCCGCCACAGCCCGTGTCTGCAAGCGATGCTCAACGACAAGGCTCAGAAACTGGTTGCGATGGGGAGAGTATAAAGACCCCTGAGCATGCGCAGAGTGCGTTTCTTTCCCAAATGGGCAGCTACTACATCCAGGTTGCCTGCTCCCAAATGGGATCAGGGCTAGGGCTTCTAGATGAGAGGAAGTGACTTCCTGACACAACTCGCATCCCCGGGGGGGAAGGACATTCTATTCAACATCTATGAGAAGGTCTTATTTTCTGGAAGGTTTGCTAACTCTCATTTCCCAAAAGTGACATTTAGGCATGGGTCTTGTGTTTGTGCAACCTGAGTTCACGTGACACAGTGTCAAGGGGTGTGCGTGTGTGGGGTTTTTTAGTAGTGATAAAAAAATATGGGCTGGAGCACCGGTTAAACGGATTACCAAATCCTTTAACTGGTTAACAGGGCCTTTCTATCTGGGAAGGCAGAATGGTGCCTGTGGAGTATGGAGGAAACTAGTTGCCTAGCAACACATTCTCGTAGTTGAGGTTCCCGTCGCTTGGGAACCGATCAGCACTCAAATCTCGGAGGAATGGGTTAGGTTCTAGGTGTAACCCCCCCAAAAAAACTGCACTGCCCTTTTTGTTGAAGGAACCAGGGAGGGCCCATATGTGTGTGTGTGCGTGTGTGTGACAGAGCGAGTGTGAGAGAGGTTTTCTGGCTTGATTTCCATTCTTTCAAAAACCACCGACGCAAGGATCCTGGGATGGGGCCAAACCTCTCATTCTTAATGCTGCCAGGAAAAGTCAGGCCAAATGCCTCTGGTGAGATTTAAAAGAGAGAGAAAAGGGGGGGGGGGGTGTGCGCAGAGGCAGCCGTATAGATAAAAGGACAAAAACAGAAGAACCACAGCTGACAGGATAATTCAACAGCCCACAGCCCTATGATCTCCCTCACCCGCACATATACACATTTCCATTGAACCGAATCCTTGTTTCCTTTCGTAGGAAATAATAAAACGGGCATGACATTGGACACTTTCCCATGGTGCATCGGGGCGCATTCTGGGGCGCAATGGGCACTGCTCCCCAGTTTAAAATGGAACCAGATGCTGACTGGGCAGCAATGTTGCCAGCCGCTGCCCATTTCCTAGGAAGCCAAAGGCCTGTTCGCAGACTCCCTTCCGGTTGCAGTTCTCTGGGCACTGCTGGGCCAGAGCAGTGGAAATAGAGATATACGAATAACTGCGTGGGATGAAAAACAGGCCAAGCAAGGAGGTTTAGTGGGTGCCTTTCGTTGCTGTGCTAACGCAGTGCTAATCTCGCTTTCTTTTCTCTCCCTCCCCTTTTCCTTGCTTGATGGCAGGGTTAGGATTCGGGGATTTCGAAGGCGAAAAGGAACGCTGAGTTGTGGTAAGCGTGAAGGGCAGCAGAGAGATAAAAAACCCCTGCTATTCTCACATCATGGGTTTGCATGTCGTGGTTTACTTCAAAAGAGCAGCGTGTCAGTTCATGTGATGAACCCAAAGGGGCCAGCTTTGCGTGATGTATGAATGCAGTGTCCCTATCTGTTGGTCCCAAACCAGGCAGACTTTGCAGGCTAATTTTAAAACCCTGTTTTACAATATTGGCTTGTTTGGAGGGTAACAAACTAGGATTGTGGGTTCGCACTAGCCCTGTTTGTGTGAAGGGAGAAGTGAAGTTGAAGCCAATGGCCTGCATGCTTTTTCAGTGAAGTCAGAAATCCCATACCCTCCAACATTTTCCCGGTGAAAATAGGGACTTCCTATTCCGTACCCTCCAACATTTCTCTGATGAAAACAGAGATGTCCCCTTCAACATTTCTCTGATGAAAATAGGGATGTCCTAAGGAAAAGCGGGACATTCTGGGATCAGATCAGAAATTGCGGTGGCTTCTGTAAATCTGAGACTGTCCCTGGAAAATAGGGACACATGGCGGGTACGAAATCCTCACTCACTGTGGTGTGCGAATCTAGCCAGTACGCGTCCTCTTAACAAACAAGAGTTTATAAAGAATAAGTGTTTCAGAGTCTCGGTTCCCCTCTGGCTCTTCAAGTAATGCTATCAAATTGGCAGAACGTCAGGCAACATTTAACGTCCTGTTGAGGTTGAGGGAGATTTGCCAGAGAGGCAGGAAAAAGGAGATACGAATTGGGCTCTCAGACCTGGAAAGAACAGCAAAAGGGAGGAGAGCCTACTTGACTGGGAAATGAAACGAGGAGTGTTGAACCAGAACTTTAAGAGGCTGAGGTGCAGATTTGAAACCTGCCGCCTGTCAAAACTGAAGTAGGCTTTTGCATGCAGGTACAAGTACCCACTTAGAATATGCTTTGAAATATTCATTTAAAAGAAATATACCTTTAACTGACAGCATAATAAGCAGAAATTCCAAGGGTGCTGGCTGTCTCCCACCATATAGCCACGATGGGGAAAAGCCAAACCAGTTGAACTTCTGTGTATCACAAACTTAACAGACATACCTGCCCCTGCCTCTTCCTCTGTTTTTAACCCTGGGCAGATTGTTCTCTGCTTTCAAAAAACCACAACAAAAAGGGAGCCTTCAAGCTACATTTTAGTGCCTTGAAAACAACAACGAGAACAACAGCAGCTAAGTGACAGGTAGCGATTTAACAGGAAAAGCCTCCATCTGTTGGACTTGTGTCTGGCAGAAGGCATTTAGAAACTCGGTAGCCCCTCCAGAGGAAAGAAGAAAAAGAAAAGATGTGAACTCTGCCAGGAAGAAAAAAAATGTCATCATCGTCTAGGTTCTTTTATACTCTTTGGCATGATTAGCTGAAAGCGCTGCAATGAAAGGGAGCTTCTAACCCTGCCTGCTTTATTTGGTTCTTGAAATCCATTCCTATGCATTTCTGTTGGTGTTGCTTCACACACAGAGCATTCTATCAACTTCAATTGGGAGCAAGAAATATCTTCAGAGGACCATTAAGAAAGTAGCCCCTTGATATAATGAACTCACCAAGGCAATACAGTTCTATATCTGCCCAACTCTACATAAATAAGCAGAAGAAGCAGTACCAGGGCTGCTAGGAAAACCTTTCAGCTGCCATCTTACACCCACAACCATTTCACGGCAAACAAAATGACTGCTCCGAGAACATTTTCCCACAATGCATCAGAGAGCTCTCTCTGAGGCAATACTTCCGCTCTTCTCTATATCTGTTTTTTTTCCTCCCCAGACAGACAAGCAAAACAAATTCTGGTCCCATCACAAAACTGGGGTGCACACCGTTCCCCTACCGGACTCTACCCTTGGTATTCCTCAGCACGGAGGCAGCAAAGCTTTGGGTCACACCCACCAGACTGGTGCCATCCACCTCGACGATAAGGTCGTTTACCTGGATCCTGAGGGAGAAAAAGGATGGAGAAAGTTAGAAGGGGACTGACCATTCAGTTGTAATATATATGTGCACAAAGCCAAAGGAAAGGCCTTCTGCATTCTTTAGCTATCGGAAAGCACATCTGTGCTAAACTTGCATATATGGCGGAACCTCGGTTCTCAAACGTAATCCGTTCTGGAAGACCGTTCTGAGTTCCGAAACGTTCGAAAACCGAGGCTCATAGTTGGCTGTCTGCAAATTCCATTGAGAAAATTGAAAAACACGCAGAGGAAGCCATTCGACTCCTGAGGCGCATTCGAAAACAGAAGCATTTACTTCCAGGTTTTCGGCGAAACGTTCATCAACGGAGTCGTTCAAAAACTGAGGTACCACTGTATTTTAAAAACCCAGCGAGCATTATGGAAGTTGGCCACGTTCTCATTTGTGGAGAAAATGTGGAGAAAATTTGTGGAGAATTTTTTAAAAAATCAATCTGCAATACTGTGGTTATTTTTTATCAATCAGTTCTTTAACACTTTCCCGTATATGAAGGGCTTCATGCTCTCTTACTTTGTTGCCAGTAAGTTAGAATGCAACATAGTGACATGACTTGCCCAAGGTAATATTTGCTCTCCTCTGTTCAAAACCAACATTTTTTTTCACTATAACACACACATACCCCCAATCCCCATACACAGCTCTCTCTCTATGTGACTTTAAGGCACTGAGAAGGACATTTCTATCGCTCTTTGCATTCATGCCACTACAGTTCACAATGCGAAGGCAGAATTGCCACCACCGGGCCACTCTTGTTAGAGGGGGTGGTCTGGATGAGCCTGCATAGGCCTCAACAAGTAATTTCCATGGGAAAGAGAAACACTACTTTTTTCCAAGATTAAACAGAGAAGAAGAAGGGAAAAAAAGCAGATGAGCAGGTAGAAAAGAAAACCCAGGCAGGTCAGTTTTAAAAGAGAGCAGGTGGTGTCCACACATTGTTTGACCAGAGGACATCTTGAGCATGCGAAAGATCCTTTGCCAGATGCAACTTGGTGAGCGGTTTCTGTAATCTTACCAAGCGTTCACCCATGAATACCCCCTGTTTATATTTCACTGGTGCCCCTGGAACTGGGCAGGCAGCCATGTTGGTTGCTATGACAGCGAGCAGCAGCCCTGCTGGCATTTCGCACCAGAGTTGCTTCTCCTCTCCCCCACCGCCACCCCTTCATTTCTCTCTCCCCCATTTCAATTCTGTGAGAAAACACACAGGGAGCATTAAGGCGTTCAGTTCCAGCAAAGAGACAGTGGTTGCTTCTTGATTTAAATTGGTGGCCTGGGATGGGTAAGGGCTGGTTAAGGATCTATTGTAACATTCTGTGTCGTATATATTTACTTCAGCTTCTGCCCCTTCACAAAACCTCATGATGGGGAACGGCACATTAAAATACGCCTTAAAAACTTGGAGCGAGCAATCAATGAAAAGCATGCCAGCCCTGAAGCATTTTGACCTTAGCCCCTAAAAGCCCATTCCAATTAGGTTAACAGCATATAGCAGGATTGGAGAACGTCCAGCCCAAATTTGGCCTGCGAAGCTGTTTTCCCCAAACCATGCCTGCCTGACCCATATACAGCGGTACCGCTGATTATGAACTAAATTCGTTCCGGAGGTCCGTTCTTAACCTGAAACCGTTCTTAACCTGAGGTACCACTTTAGCTAATGGGGCCTCCTGCTGCCGCTGCACGATTTCTGTTCTCATCCTGAAGCAAAGTTCTTAACCCGAGGTACTATTTCTGGGTTAGCGGAGTCTGTAACCTGAAGCGTTTGTAACCCGAGGTACCACTGTAAACATAGCACTGCAGAGCTGGAACCACAACAGTCATCTAGTCCAACCCCTTTCAATGCGGGAATCTTTTGCTCAAACTCATTACCCTGAGATTTAGATGTGTCATACGTGATGTCAGGATTGACTGTGCAACCAAGTTCTCCGTTGCAAACTTGATTGTGCAGCGAATCCCTGCAGGAAGCAGGTTTGAAATCGCTGCCGGTGGGGATGGTATTTCAATCCTGCCGGATCGGCTGTGAGTTCGAGTTCCCCACGCGAATTGCACCTGCTGGGCCAAGGACACAAGAAGAAGAGCCCCACTGGGCCAGACCAAAGTCCAGCATCCTATTCTCAGAGTGGCCAACCAGATGTCCGTGGGGAAGGCTGCAAGGCAGGCCACGGGTGCAACAGCACTCTCTCTGCAGGACAGAATTGAGAGAGAGCCAGAGGATCGATTCGCCAATGGAAAGGCCTGACCACCGCTTAAAAGAATCTGAGAGTAAACGATTGAAATGTTTTGCAGGAGGAGGGAATCATTTATTTATCATATACTGGAGCACTGCAGAAAGACATGCCAGAGTGCTCCATCTGCTTTCCGATTGTACTGGGACCTGACAGGCTCTGCTTTGTTTTGAATTCTGCTTATTCAGCCTTGCGTTTAAGCCAATAGCCGCAGGTGACAAGAAATCACATGCAGGCAAGTGAGGAGGCTGGTGGAGAATAGATGAAGTGCCCTGTCCATAGCTGTCAACTTACAGATTTGAAAATAAGGGACCAGCAGCCTTGAAAATAAGGGATCGGCAGCCAAAATAAGGGATTTTGCTTAGCTTGTGCACATCGGGGCTGCCGTTGTCCTGGCACGAGGAGTTCCATCGGCCCTTCCCCGCCCGAGATGGAGGGAGGGAGGAAGAGAGACTCTCACCCATGAGCCCGGCATGAGGCGGTTGTGGCGCCACGGTGGCCACTGAAGCGCCGCCCTTCTGCATCCCTCCCCATCCCCTCCTCTTCCTCCTCCCTCAGCTGCCTCCAGCTTCCCCTGGCAGCGCAGTGAAAGTCTCGCAAGAGAGGGGCTGCCCACCCACCCGCCGCCACCCGTCTCCTCACGATGCGCCCCTGAGGGGGGAAAGGGAGAGACGGAGACGTGGCAGCTCGTGCGCGTTCTCTCTCGCGCGGCGGAGGACCCCGAGCCGCTGCTTCCCTCCCGAGCCAGGTGAGCATGAAACCCAGGAAATTTAAGGGACATCATCAATCCGGGACAGCAGCGGGACACGGGGCTGGGATAAGGGAGTTTCCCACCAAATAAGGGACAGTTGACAGCTATGGCCCTGTCCCTATCAGGCTGTCAGAGGAGAGAAGTCCTTCCTCTGGGCCTTGCACAGAAATGCAGTGTGCCACTGATGGAAAGCCCTGCTCATCTCTGCCTCTTTTGTACCTCTGATTGCCCTTTGCCCCTTCATCACAATTCCTCCTTCTTGCGATCCCTCAGGGTATTTTTATTTTTAGCTTATCTATGAAAACAAGCCAAGTTGAGGGAGGGCAGGGGAGGGGAGGGTGAAAGGCATGAAGGAAGTTTCCAAAGTGATTCTTGCACAGTTCTAAAACCAGGGTCACCCAATCCCATCCCTTGGCAGCGGGTCCCGAGTTCAGAACAGGAAGAAGTTCTTCACACAGCTAAGCCTGCGGACCTCTCTGCTACAAGGTGCGCAATGACTAATGACTAGACACATTCCAATGGCGGAATCAACAGATATGACAGGAAAACAGACCCCTTGCATTCAGTAATGGTGTTATGCCTCTGATTAACAGCTGATGGGTATAAACAGTGGAAATTGGATGACATTGCTTGACGGAGACTTGGAGCATCTCACAGGCTCCCTTTGGAAGTTCTGGGCTGATCCAGAAAGGCAGCAATAATTTACAACGCTCCTTGTTTATTTCACCGCTGAGGTGATTTTAATCTGTTTTAATATTTTAACTTTTGTATTTTTTAAAAGTACGGCCGTGATTTTTTTCTTGATTTTATTGTTAACCCCTTTAAGCTTCTTTACAATCAAGCAGTACATAAATTTTATGAAATGAATGAATAAAATGAAAATAAATAAATATCCATGTAACTACCTTTCTATAATATCAAATCCCACACCTTGTGATTACTCAAACACAAAACGCATCACAAAGGCCATAACGCATTGTCTCATTGCTGTCAACCCATGGGGTTCTTTATTCCTTGTGCAAGGCCACAGTCTTCAAGGTTTTAATTGCTCTCTTCATACTACAGATCTTCCAGCGGTGATTTCACCTCAAACTATTTTGGGCAGAGAGTGAATCCTGCAATGGCAGGTGTAATCCCAGCAATTAAAAATAGCACAGTTAAGGTGTGTACAGTTTGACTTCCTCTAATACGAAAATGTTTTCAGGGTTCAAAGCTAAACCGAAGCAGGTTACACTGCTCAGGAGATGCTACCGATTAATCAGAAACATGCCTTTTTAATTTTCACTGGGTAAAAAAAATTATAAATCACAGGACATGATCCAACTGTTATTTCACTAAGTGTTCCCCTAGTTGTGACATACCGTATTGAGATCAAGAATCTCTGCTACATTGTGATCACGTATAACAAAGCCACCCAAATCCATTCTTCTTTCCAAAGCACTTTTGGAAGGGGGAAATTAAAAATGGAGGCAGGGGGTGCAGTTTAAGAGAAAAACAATCGGCAGGTGAAGGGTTATGGATTGCCCATTCCTCGCACCCTCCTTCCTCGGCTCTGATGCACATCACACCTTCCAGAAAACTCTCAACAATGGATAAGGTGCTGCTGCAACAGAGCATGCTTTCTGCCATCTTAAAAATTTGCTCAGGGGGAAAAGGTTGGTCTTCATTGCAGAAGAGTACGAGAATTGTTGCTTCGCCATATCATTGTTTTATGATATGTTCGGGTCTGTTATGAAACCGGGAAAGCAGTTGGTTAAATAACCCTGCTGTCCACAAAAACATTCCATCTCTTTACTTATTTCTTATGGAAACAAACATGCAGCCCTCAACACATTTATAAGGGAATCAAGTCAGTAACTCAGTAAACTGCCCTTCAACTCGGTGCTTAGGATCACGCTGAAAGACTCTGAGAGCCTGGCCACAAACTGACACTCGCTGCATGAGAGCATCCCCGCCATGCGAAAGTTTTTTGCCTGCTGAGAATTCTGTTTGCTCTCCCATGAACAAGCCAAGAAAGTTGGAGGGAACAGAAAAACCACAGGCATATATATACACATGCACACAAGATGGTGAAGGAAGAGACTCATGTCCCATCAAAACACCGTACAGTGGTACCTTGGGTTAAGAACTTAATTTGTTCCAGAGGTCCATTCTTAACCTGAAACTGTTCTTAACCTGAAGCACCACTTTAGCTAATGGGGCCTCCTGCTGCCGCCACGCAATTTCTGCTCTCATCCTGAAGCAAAGTTCTTAACCAGAGGTACTATTTCTGGGTTAGCGGAGTTTGTAACCTGAAGCGTATGTAACCTGAAACGTCTGTAACCCAAGGTACCACTGTACATTTAAAGCATGTTGCTTTCCCCAAAGAATCCTAGGAATGGGAGAGCTGGGAATTGTAGCTCGGCGAAGGGCCAAACTACAGTTCCCAGGATTCTTGGGGGACGACGACAATGCGCTTTAAAGGTGTTTCATATGTACAATGTGTGTGTGGCCTCTGGAGGCCTTTCCTCTCCATTCTTTATCTCTCCTTTGCAGATTGTTGTCCCTGCTGCGTCCGTTCCCAGTTCCTAAGGAAAGTTAGGAATTTTCTGAGCAGAGGGATAAAGAACGGATGCAGAAAGACAGAAAGAAGCTCCTTCTTCACTCTGTGTATGTGTGACATTTATCCCCTCCAGCTTTCTCTGCCTGATGAAGAGGAAGGGGGAAAGTACTTCATAATTTTCAGCAGAATTGTCCGCTCTCGTACGGTGAGCGTAACATGTTTGAACATCGAGTATAATCTGAATGCTCCCTCTCCTCCCATGTTTCACTTCCAAAAACAGATAAGCACTCATCATCCACCTGCGTTCTCCATTTCTTTCCCAATGTCTTTGTTTTCTCTGTTTTTAGTTGTTCTTATCTGTCAGCCGCCTTGAGTCCCAAAAAGGCGGGGTATGTATGACTGCTTGCAAGTATCCCTTCACCCAGAGTTGGTTTTCCCAAACTTGGGTCTCCAGCTGTTTTGGGACTACAATCAGTGCTGGTTTTACATATAAGTGAAACAAGCTATAGCTTAGGGCAGTGTTTCCCAACCTTGTGCCTCCAGCTGTTTTTGAACTACAACTCCCATCATCCCTGACTAGCAAGACCAGTGGCAAGGGATGATGGGAATTGTAGTCCAAAAACAGCTGGAGGCACAAGGTTGGGAAACACTGGCTTAGGGCCCCACTTTCTTGGGGGCCCCAAAAAAATCGAAAGGAAGAAAAAAAATGTATTTCACTATTAATATACTTCTTAATTGTATTTCAGTTCAACAATTACTTTGATAAAATACGTATTCTGTTATGTGCAAATGGCTTTAGATACCTATTAGGTCCATAAATTACCATATAGCATACCGTAGTTTTCGCTCCATAAGACACACTTTTTTCCTCCTAAAAAGTAAGGGGAAATGTCTGTGCGTCTTATGCAGCGAATGCGTGGTCCCTGGAGCTGAATTGCCCAGGGGCTAAAAGCAAATTGTGCTTTTTTTTTTTTTGAAAGAGGGAAGGGGGTGTTGAAACAAAGCCGCTGAGCAGCTGATTGGCAAGTGATTGGGAGGGAGATAAGGGATGCTAGCAATAAAGGAGGCTGCCTGGGAGTGAGTGGGGAGGTAAAAGCCCATGGATCCTCAGGATTTTTGCATTGGGTCACCCCAAATTCACCATCAGATCACATAGCATGTCCATGGCTACAGCCTGCACCCATCCACTGTTTTGTGGGGCCGCAATGGCACAAAAACGTAGTTACAAAGCACGGATCCACATGGATCCTCAGGATTTTTGCATTGGGCTACCCCAAACTCACTGTCAAATCACATATCATGTCTGTGGCAACGGCATGACCCACAAAAATCATACATCCACTGTTTCGTTCAGAATATTATTTTTCTTGTTTTCCTCCTCTAAAAACTAGGTGCGTCTTATGGTCGGGTGCGTCTTATGGAGCGAAAAATATGGTGTATTCAACACAAAAAACAGTGACAATCTGTTGTTGACAAAGGACAGCTGGACATATAAAGGGCACCATTACCTTCAGTAGCTTAGGGCCTCATCAAACCTAAATCCGGCCCTGACTACAATTCCCATCCCACTGGTCCTGCTAGCTAGGGATGATGGGAGTTGTAGTCCAGCAACAGCTGGAGACCCAAGTTTGGGAAGCGCTGAGTCAGAGGCATGGAATGCTTGATAAGAGCAGGAGAAACATGTCACATCACAGCTAGCAGGGTTTTCCTTTCCCCTGCTCCCAGAACCCCCTTCTGTGAGTCAAAGTTAGGGCGTTTGCAGCGGGTTCAATGCCAACCAGAGACTGACCTGCCATCTCGGTGAGCTGCTCCTCCTTCTGTCACCGTCTTGACAAAGATGCCAAGTTTTTCTAGGCCCATATCAGCACCGGCTCCCATCCCGATGATGCTGATTCCGAGCCCCTCGGAATCTGAACGAGGGAAAGCAAAGGGTGATTTTCTTAAGAACACCAGGTTCCAGAGGAGTTACCAGAATTAGGTCACAGGGCAAGTTACAGCCCTGGGCAGCATATTGCAACAAATACAACAGATAAGCACAAGGATAAGTCAATAAAAACTCCTTTGAACTACTAAGTCAGACAATCACAGTGCTTTTCACACTGTAGATGTAAACTAATAGCAGGGGAAACGGGTGGAAATTTCTCTGCTCGCACTGCGGTGCACCCTGAACATGGACTGGACCACAGGCAAGAAGATCCAAGCATCGCCCATCAAATTAGAAGAAAAGAAGAAGATGAAGAAGAAGAAGAGGAGGAGGAGGAGTTTGGATTTGATATCCTGCTTTATCACTACCCGAAGGAGTCTCAAAGTGGCTAACATTCTCCTTTCCCTTCCTCCCCCACAACAAACACTCTGTGAGGTGAGTGAGGCTGAGAGACTTCAAAGAAATGTGACTAGCCCAAGGTCACCCAGCAGCTACATGTGGAGGAGCGGGGAAGCAAACCTGGTTCACCAGATTACGAGTCTACCGCTCTTAACCACTGCACCACACCAAGAAAACCAGGACATGCAAGTTAGGGACGGTTGATGTATCAGAGCTTCAGGTCCTAAGGATTAACGTTCTTTGTGGTAGGATTTAGGAAACATTGCATTAAAGGCCTTTTCCTTATTTGTGGTTGATTTCCCGAGTTGCTTACTTCCCTTGCTTCGACCACATCCCAGTTTCTATGAAAAATTAGCTGTTAAGGTAAGAAAAAAACCCCAGAAGGATAGGGCAAGGTGGGTATAACAGGTAGCCAGGCTCTAAATACGATCCTCCTGAGTGGGGGGGGGGACTTAAGGGAGCATCCCAGGGGTATGAGAACACCTTCTTGAATAACTACCCAAATAACTAATGCAGTTTGTCTTTACTCATGGGGATGCAGCTGCTATTTGCTTGAGGCCTAATAGATATTCAATTCCTACAATTTCCAGAGGAGTATATTCATGTGCAGCATCTTGAGAAGTAGAGACATCACCTTGCCAACAAAGGTCCGTATAGTTAAAGCCATGGTTTCCCCAGTAGTGATGTACGGAAGTGAGAGCTGGACCATAAAGAAGGCTGATCGCCAAAGAATTGATGCTTTTGAATTATGGTGCTGGAGGAGACTCTTGAGAGTCCCATGGACTGCAAGAAGACCAAACGGATCCATTCTGAAGGAAATCAGCCCTGAGTGCTCACTGGAAGGACAGATTGTGAAGCTGAGGCTCCAGTACTTTGGCCACCTCATGAGAAGAGAAGACTCCCTGGAGAAGACACTGATGCTGGGAAAGATGGAGGGCACAAGGAGAAGGGGGCGACAGAGGACGAGATGGTTGGATAGTGTTTTCGAGGTTACCAGCATGAGTTTGACCAAACTGCGGGAGGTAGTGGAGGACAGAGGTGCCTGGCGTGCTCTGGTCCAGGGGGTCACGAAGAGTCGGACACGACTAAACGACTAAACAACAACAACAACATACTCATGTGAGCCTGCTGCAGCGAAAACAGCAAAGAGGCACCTCAAAGATTAACCAATTTTATCATGGTGTAACACAGAAGTTAGCAACCTAAGGCCCATGGGCCGGTTTGGGCCCATGAGCTTCCTGGAACTGGACCACGGCCGTTCCGTGGATCGGCGTGGGAATTCCGTGCTTCCCCCCCCCCACAGTGCCATTTTCCCCCCCGCCGCGGGGACCGACTTCCAGGTCGGAAGAGCACTGGAAATATTGTGTGTGCATGGGCGCTCCTTAAGCAGAGGAGCGCCCGTACACATGCGTGTACGCTATTTCCGGTGCACTTCCGACCTGGAAGAGCGCCAGAAATAGCTTGAGCACATGTTCCGGCCCACTGAGAGGTCTGCCGGGTAGTGGACCGGACTGGCCTCAAAAAACGACCCCTGGCGTAAGGTTTTGTAGGGCTGGGTGATATATCGATATATCACTTGGGACCGGTTTGAAGTCCGTCTCGTGATATCAGTTTCATAATTTTAGACCTGGTAATATATTGCGAGTCATGATATGTGTGTGTGCCATGCTAAAATCATGATGCAGAAAAAACCGTGAAGCCAGCGGATGCCTCTACACAGCTCCATCCTTATCTCAGGCATTGTGATATACAGGTATGTTGCGATGTTTAACCAGATCTCGCCCAGCCCTAGACTTCAGCTCACTTTGTCAGATGCATGGAGTGTGATCCTCATTTGTCAGGTTTTATGTACAAACACAAGCACATACATACATGCACACCCCCCCCATACAAGTGGTAAAGCTTTGCTGCTAACACAGCTGTGATCATTCCTGCAGAGGAACAGTTTGGCCAATATGGTCAAGGTGTTAGTTACCTCAAGAACAGATAATTTCACAACTCCATTACAGTGGTACCTTGGTTCTCAAACACCTTGGTTCTCAAACAACTTGGAACCCAAACACTGCAAACCCAGAAGTAAGTGTTCCGGTTTGTGAACTTTTTTTGGAAGCTCAATGTGCTCCCTTTTGAGTCTTACGCTTCCGTTTTGAGTGCCACATTTCCGTTTTGAGTGTTATGCTGAGATCTGTCTGTTTTCGCTATTTATTTTGAGCTTTTGTTGCTCTCTCTCTTTGTTTTGTGTGGAACCCAGTTCAGCTACTGATTGATTGACTGTGTGACTGTGGTACATTGCTTATTGCTTTCATTTTATGGATCCATGGTCTCGTTAGATAGTAAAATTCATGTTATATTGCTGTTCTAGGGATTGTTTTTAAAAGTCTGGAACGGATTAATCCGTTCTGCATTGCTTTCTATGAGAAAGCGCGCCTTGGTTTTGGAACGCTTTGGTTTTGGAACGGACTTCCAGAAAGGATTAAGTTTGAGAACCAAGGTACCACTGTAGTCCACAAGCTGCCACTAGGCTGTCCATTATGCCACCAGGCTCAGTTCAAGGTTTTTCTTTTAGCATTCAAAGCCCTGTACAACTTGGAGCCAATTGTGTTCCTCCGATGGGACACGGTTTAGAGTCCCATACGCTTAGATATGCTTGACATCAACTAGATACTAGGATTTTAGTTTTGCGGCTCCAGCTCTATGGAATTAGCTCTTGATCTCCTTTCATTTTTACACTTAGGCAGCTATCAAAGAGTTTCTCTCTCTTTTTAAACAATGGCTTTCCCTGAAGAGTGACTCAGCCATTTTACATTGTATACCACACGACACCTGGATTTTTAAGATCTGCTTTTCAGATGGTTATGCACATTTTTGCTACCTATTTTGTTGCTTTTTAAATATTTCCGTTGCACGCACTGCTTCGAAATCACTTTTTTGGGGAGACTGTTTGTAAATCCTTAAACAAACAAATAAATAAATAAAGAAGGGGAGGGAGTGTAAAGGCTGGTGTTAATGACAACGGAATGCAAAATACCGTCTGGAACAATTTAATTAGAATGTAAATGTATGCAAAATTACCCTTCTCAGCAGCAGTAGCTGGTGATAACACAGTAATCTCAGCATCCCTGAGTAAATCAGAGCTTAAATGTATGTGGAATGAACACGGCCGTGACACTTCACAGTGGCAGCGGAGGGTGACAACAAAATCATCTGAACATTAGCACTTCCAGTGGGGCTAGAAAACCCTTCTTGCTATCCAGGCCCAAATGGAAAGAAATGAACTATTGGATGCGTTGCAATTCAGTGGCCAGGCCATCCCTCAGCTGAAAATCTCTGACAAAGACCTTCCTGGTTGATGTGTGTGTGAATGTAAAGAAACACCTTACTTTCCAACACATTCCCCAGCTGGCTGAATCCAAAAATAGGCTCCCACCTTCTCCACTCCAGAAAAACCATTTTTACCTCACATCTGTACCAGATTTCTCCATTACCTTTATCTAGTTCCACGGGAAAGAGGTCTAGCCTCTCCACCCGCTTCTCGAGTTCATACTCTGCCGAGGCAGCCATGGGATCGACATCTTCGTTCCGCCGGTCATATTCCTCGTTGGAATAGGTGCTAAAAACCTGGACAGAGAGAGAAAAGATATGAACACAATGGCACAATGGAACACCGTAACGGAAGCCAGAGCGCACGGAAATGCTGTTTACCTTCCCGCCACAGTGGTACCTATTTATCTACTTGCACTGGCGTGCTTTCAAACTGCTAGGTTGGCAGGAGCTGGGACAGAGCAACGGAAGCTCACTCTGTCACCGGGATTTGAACCGCCGACCTTCCGATCAGCAAGCTCAAGAGGTTCAGTGGTTTAGACCACAGCGCCAGCCGTGTCCCTGGACTAGATGGGGCACTGGCCTGATCCAGCAACACTCTTCTTATATTCAATTCTCTCTTCTTATGTACACACACACACACATGCATTGTGCGTTAAGAAAAGCACTTCCCTTTGTCAAGTTCTGTGACAGGGAAGTCTCTTTCTCCATGTACAGCGTGGAAAACACAACTTAGGAATTCAGGAAGAGATCACAGGAAGGAAAATTCGAGACACTGAACAATGGAGAAGGGAGGTGATTTTGGTGTACTTTGGATGGGATTTGTAGGGAGACCTTAGTGACAGCTAAAGCAAGGAGCGTTCAAAATCCTACGCCAAGTCTTTCCCAGAGTAGATGGGTCACTCGGATATCATTCTCAGTGAGCAAGGCCTCATTGTTGTGGCCTTTCAGTGGCCCTCGACAAATGAACAGGGCTTTATTCCTTGTTCTGCCATCTCATATGGCCAAACTGGCTCTTACTTCTTACCTCCTAAGTCAGAATCCACATTTATATGTCCTCTCATATTCACACGAAACAGTCCTTATCCCTGGGATGAATTTGTAATGAATCTGTTCAGTATTTAACCTTTCAAACTCCCCACTCCCATTGTTCTAGAATTGATATTTGCTTTTATTGCAAGCTGACTGCTGGGTCTGCCATACCAAAAGTGCTGGTATATGCTTAAATAAAATTTGTAACTTGTCCGTAATTTGAGCGATACAGGATAAGTGGTGTTAATTCGGTTTGAGGTGGTACATTGATTCGGTAAAGTGACTAGTTGTGTGAACGAAAGGCGAATTCAATTTGCAATGCTTTGACTGCTGCAATGCACTCTACGTGGGGCTACCTTTGAAGGTGACTCAGAAACTACAGCTAATCCAGAATGCAGCTGCCAGACTGGTGACTGAGTGCGGCCGCTGGGACCATATAACACCGGTCCTAAAAGACCTACGTCGGTTCCCAGTATGTTTCCAAGCACAATTCAAAGTGTTAGAATTTGAGCTGAGGTAGACAAATGGTGAACTCCTCTCTTTGCTGCCACATTTGTTTTTAGGTGGAAACACAACCTTACTAAAACTTTGGACATCTGAATTGTTTTATATGGCACAGCAATCGCTTCTCTAACCAAGGACCAAAATTAAAGGCGTAAATATGACCCAAGAAGTTTCTTCTCCAGATGACAGGAGTATCATTCTAGTTGCCTTCTCTTTGTTTTATTGGCTAGATCCACTTCCCTAAATTACTTCATTCATTGGTTTAAAACATTGAAAGGCTGGGGCAGGCTAGTTTCTTGCCGAATGAGTGAGCAGAATTAGCATTTACAGTGGTACCTCGGGATGCAAACAGGATCCATTCCGGAGCCCCGTTCACATCCCGAACGGAACGCAAGACGTGACGGCACGTCTGCGTGTGCATGGGTCACGTTTCGCTACCGCCGCGCATGCGCGTGACTTCATTTTCAGCATCCGCGCATGCGCAAGCCGCGAAACCCAGAAGTAATGCACTCCATTACTTCCGGTTTGCCGTGGAGCGCAACTCGAATGCACTCAACCCGAAGCGCATTCAACTCGAGGTATGACTGTACACAATTTTGCCTCATTTCTCTCGTTGTAGAAGGCCCCCCGCAGGCACCCATGGTTTCACTCATGAGTTTGTTTGTTTGTTTGTTTTTGTTTGTTTGTTGCAGGGCTCCTTTGCCCTCTGAACAGGCAAAACCTTAGTTACCAGAAAGCGCAATGTAATCATGAATAGATGGTTGGATAGTGTTCTCGAAGCTACAAACATGAGCCTGACCAAACTGCGGGAGGCGGTGGAAGACAGGAGTGCCTGGCGTGCTCTGGTCCATGGGGTCATGAAGAGTCGGACACGACTAAACGACTAAACAACAACAATCATGAATAAGTGATATCTCTTCTCTTGTTTTGCCCCCTCACATCCATCTGTAATTACAACACGAAATTAACTGATGGCATCACTTCCCCAGCAGCTCTGAGCTCGCCTTGATGTGAGTTGCCAACATTGCAAACAGTTGACATCTGAGCACGGATGCAGGGAGGTCACCCTCTGGATGATTACAACTGAGACTAGTTTCCATGGCCCAGGTTTGCTGTTTCACTGCACAATTTAGAAACACAGAGTGAATGATTACCCCACCTGGTACAGTATTTAGACCATTCTGTGTAAGCCACAGGTTGCCAAACAGTGCCTGCAGGCACCAATGTGCCTTTCAGTACCTCTACTGCAGCTCATGAAAGTTCTCCGAAAATATCCTCTCGGAAATCCCCTGTTATGTATTCAGTGGGGTCTGTGTTTGCCTGAGCTTGAGTCTGGACTAAGGATTCCGAGCCCCTGTGTTCTGATTCGATACATGATATCCAATCACAGAACCTTTCAGGATTTGGGCCTCTGCCATTGGCCCTTAAACTCTGAGTCATGATTCGCAGCTTGGAAGTTTAGACAGCCAATCACGTTGGGAGTGGCCCAGAAATGTATATAAGCTGTTGCTTTGCCCCTGTTGTTCAGTTCTGTTAGTTCAATAGAAGTTCTTGATGTTATCACCGTGTCTTGACTTGAGGGAACCCACATACACTTCACACTTCACCCACCATGCATGAGACTGCTTGCTCTTTCCGGTCAGCATCTCCTATATTTAACATGCCTTGCTCAACATGTCCACTTGACCTTCTGTTCTGAACAGAGAGACGCAAAGAGCATGTGGGTGCCTGTTTTCTATTGAGAGCTGCAACAGTACCGTCCAATGCCCTTTTAAAGTGTGTGTGTGGGAGGGAGCGTTATTGGGTTGTTTCTATTTTGATTATGTATTTTGTGTTTTTAGATTGTAATTGTATCCTGTGAACCGCCCTGAGACCTGCGGGTATAGGGCAGTATACAGACTTAATAAATAACAACAACAACATTTTGTCTTCCCGTCTCTTTTTCTGCTCTTTTAAATGTGGCAGCCATTTTACGTTATGCTGCACCCCCTATATCAGCCATTTTGTGAATGGTGCCCACGGAACTGCCTCAAAATTTCAAATGTACAGTGGTACCTTGGGTTACATACGCTTCAGGTTACAGACTCCGCTAATCCAGAAATAGGACCTCGGGTTAAGAACTTTGCTTCAGGATGAGAACAGAAATCGTGCTCCGGAGGCGCGGTGGCAGCAGGAGGCCCCATTAGCTAAAGTGGTGCTTCAGGTTAAGAATAGTTTCAGGTTAAGAACAGACTCCTGGAACGAATTAAGTACTTAACCCGAGGTACCACTGTACCCAACTGGCCGAACAAACAAGCAAACCTTCTGACATCTCCAGGCATTGCAAGAAGGAGTTAAATGAGCATGTGGAGGGATGGGAGTGGGAACCAGGACCTCAATCTTTTGCTGTTACTTGAATAGTCCTCATTCCCCTTTCTTCCTTAAATGCTCTCTCTTGGGGCCATTCCAAGGCATTTCGTCGTCTAAGGCAAAGCAAAAGACCAAGGTCTCCCTGATCCACATACAGAACCTGAGTTGATTCATAGGGCAACCTTAATTGACTTGAACGTTACTTTGACACAGGTGACAAGACAGCACCCTCCACTAGTTTAGGAGATGAAGGGCAAGCCGACTGGCACAACATACACAAAGCAAATGAAATACCGTGAAAATCAGTGAAATAAGGTTTGTAGCCGGCATCCCGTTAAGGCTTTGTTCATTTCTAGGTTTTTCTATTTTTTTCCTTAAACTTTGTGATTTTTGTTATTTAGTTTAATTCTATAAGATAATTTTTAGTCGATTACTTCTTGTTTCAGGGATTTTCACGGTATTTCATTTGTTTTGTGTAGTTTTCAGTTCCGTGACTGTCTTTTTTCTACTGACTGGTGCAACATAGCTCTTTCCTCCAACGCCTTATTGCCACTCCCCAACCCCCAAGAACGCACCACCTGAGGCAGCAGCTTCACTCTGCCTAATGGCAGGGCCGGCCCAAAACCTCTCCTACATTTGTTCACCCTTTCCTGCCTTCCTTTCATAGATCAAAGGATGAATTCTTTCCCTTTAGCTTTCTCGCTCTTTCCCCTTGACTTCAGAAAGCTCACGTCTCCGCCCCGCCAAACACACGCTTTGAGCCCTCCGCAGATCCCAATTTAGCTGCCATCCCTGTACGTACGCTTCCCCACTTAGGAGATTCATCCCCGCCCTTCTGCAACTTCCATCCTCTTCCGCCTCCAATCCTCTCAGGCTCGCTCTATCCTGTAATCAAAGCCGCAAAGGCTGTCACAGCCAGAGACAGAAAGCACGAAAACACCCCACTCCCAAAACCCACGGCGGCATCAATTAAGCTGCCAGGGTAGCCGTTCGGCCTGCCCCATCGCAGGCACCACCTGCGATGCCTAGTCAAGGACAGGGAGTGGGGGGTCTTCACCACGCTCAGTCCCATCTATGGATGAAAAGAAACACGGAAAATAAAATAGGAGGAAAACGCACGCTTTCTGAGCTCATGTGTGGGAAGAGAATGGAAGTTTGGAATAAATATGGGTCCTGATTAGTCCCGTCCCCCTCTTCCCCTCAGGGTTTAGTAAAACCCTCAGCAGATCCGTTGGGCTCAGAAAATTATTACTCAAAATAGACCTGTCAGAAGATTAAAACGCAGCTGGGAGAGGGAGCGCAAGTGGTTTAGGCACATTCATGGAATTCCCCCCCTAGATTTCCTGTTTTTGAACTGTACCCATTGTACGGAAATTGACAACAGGAGAGCGAAAATGGATTCTACACACCCT